CGGTGTTCGGGAGGTCATGGGTTCAATTCCTGTCGGGGACTCAGAATTTTTCTTTGTCCCACGCTCGTGTCATGTTGATTAATTCACCTTCACAATAAAGTGATGTATGCAAGTTCATATCATTGAACTGTGGGCTTCTTTTTCTTCAAGGCTTGATGATCCAAACGTGTTGGAAAGTCGACAGTATTATCAAATAGCACACAGCTTCCAGGAAGACATAACTGAACAGCCAACTATTCTTATTGGTGGTAAACTGAAAGAATATCAGGTATCAACTTTCAAAAGATAAATTCCATTTTGTTGTGCACAGCTGTTCCTGAAGAGATGACATTCTACAATGTAGAAAAAATTGTTCTGAAGCTGACATCAGAGCTGACTTGTGTTTGATTTGTTGGTTTTCAGTTGCGAGGTCTTGAGTGGCTGGTTTCATTGCATAATAATGCTTTGAATGGCATTCTCGCAGATGAGATGGGTCTGGGAAAAACCATTCAGACCATTGCCTTGTTTGCTTACTTGATTGAGGTCAAGAAACTCAATGGGCCATTCTTGGTTATTGTGCCTCTCTCGTAAGTACTGCTACCATTAATGCTGATTTGATTTTGTGTTCTTCTTGTATGCAACCCCACACAGTATAATGTCATGTTTTACAGGGTGTGATGATTAATCCCACGCCCAACCCTCAACCTGGAGATGAAGGGTTTTTCTGTCAGGGCTTAGAGATGTCTGTAGGAAATAAAAACTAACCACTCATGGTTTCCCTATCCCAAAAAGGCACCCTGACATTAGTAGGGTTTGAAAAAAGCTTGAATTCCAGTTGCCCTTGGGACAAGTAGTCCTTGAATTTTGCTTGTCCCGTGCAGGTCTTAGTTTGCTCTTTTAATGACTTAGTTGCAGGGATGGCGGAGCCATGGGGCTGGATGGGCTTTAGGGCCCCAATTTCAAGCAAAAAATACATAAAAATTTTAATATCTCCAGACCCCCTACAAGTCAGCGCCACTGGCACTCACTTGTAAGCCTGCCTAATTCAAAATACGCTCCACCATCCCTGAGTTGGCAGACAACTTGCCCAATCCCTTGCCCATTGGGCAAGTAGGAGTGAAAGTTACTTTCCCAGCAGGAAAATCTACCTCTCCTCAATGACTTTTTTTGAGCCCTGCCTAGTAGCATGTTCCCTTGATTTAGTGCAACTGTTACATTGTAAACCACACAAATTACACATTTATCTATGATTTTAAGGACATAGAACCACAGCATGTTTTTACATTCCTAAATTCTTATTTTCCCATTTGGTAGAACACTCTCTAACTGGCTACTGGAATTTGAAAAGTGGACACCTTCAATTATCGTTGTTAGCTACAAGGTAAGATTAAGGCACTGTACAATTTCCATATCTTAAAAATTGCAGTGAAGTAATTGTTTTTCTTACCCAAAGTGACATCATGTTTTGGATAATTTATTTGAACTGTATTTATCTGTAATTTCTGTTCAAAAGAATACTTGTACATGTATCTTTCTGCAAATTTCAATCCCCTGAAATAAAGGCAAAAAGAGCTGGTCAGCAAGTGATGATCTCTGCAGCTATGGAGGAAAAGCCTAGAGTTGTGTAGCAAAGTGCCTTGTTTTCAAATTGTTGTTTGTTGTTGGTGTCCGTCTGTCTCAGGCGACAATGCAACTCTGCGCCGTGATTCAGTTAGTGGTTGAGTTGCAGTGCCTGCTGTGGCTGTATCTATAGGCCAATTTTAGATTGGATGGTTAGGTTGCAGTTTTGCCGGTGAAAGTTGTGCCAAATTACATGTAATGACTGCATTACTTATGAGGGTTGCTGGCTGTGTTGTCCAAGAGGAATCTACTACTTACAGCCAGCCCTATATTGCCAACATGACTGTCACAACCCTGCAACCCAGCCACGATTTTCCACTGCACACCCATCACACAGACTTATCACTCGGAAATGTGCTACGGCTAAATCAGAAAGAGTCCAGACTTTAACTTAGTGTATGTTTTCCACTGCACACTTTTTAAGGCCTGTCGGAAAATTAGCCATGCATGTCAGGTGTCGGAGGTGTGCAATATTCAACCAGGGATTCGCTAACACCACTAAAGATTTAATCTTGATGAGTGGGGTTTGATAGTAGAACCTGGCACATAAAATTAAGTAGTAAATGAATCTTATGTATTACAACAAATAGTTAACTCATTTAACGCCAGCCCTCGATAACATAATTTATATCCTAGATGGTTTTTATCACCTTACTGTGTTCAACGAATTTTATGTTATAGTGTACATCAAAGAAATTTCACCTATTAGTTGATTTTCTAATTTTATTCCTAGTTAATTTCCATCACCTTCTACTTGACTATATGTCAAATTATTGTCAGGAGAAAGTATTCATACATGTAGATGTGGCAAACCTTAGGAATTTAAGGTTTAACGGTTTCATGTTCTTTTTTAGGGTTCACCCAACATGCGTCGTTCAGCTGCTTCTCAGATCAGAGTAGGAAAGTTCAATGTTGTGCTCACTACTTATGAGTATGTGATGAAGGACAAGTCAGTCTTGTCAAAGGTATGTTCAAGTTACATGTATGCATTATTTCCTACGTTCATACTGCTGTTCAAAATTCCTGGAAAAGTTTGATTATTTGCAAATTTTCTTGCAGGGCCTTGAAAATTAATTTCTTTTAGTCTGCTTGCTTCTTAAAAACTCCTGGGCATATACAAAATGTAGTTAAACTAAATGGCAATGAAACTGCTTGAAATCATAACCTTTTCTACAAATATTAACACAAATACTTTCAAGTCAGTTACTCGGAAAAGCGTTATCTTTGAACATCTACACTATGAAATTTCCAAGTTCTGAATCCTAGAATTTTCGTAATGTATTTCTACCCTAGAAAACTCCTAGAATTTCATTATCTTTAAGTGGCTAAAACCATGTTACAGGCAACACAGTGATTCATTTTAGGGAGTTCCTTTACTTTTTATCCCTTTCAAGATTATTAACATTGTTCCATAATCTAACAGTCTATGGATTAGACAGTAGCTTTGACAGTAACAATTCCTTTCAAGTGTCTCCACAAGTACTCAGTGTACAGTAAGGGCATTTGTTTCTCTATCCTTGTATATAGCTGATGTGTTAAAGGTGAATGTACTCAGAGCATCTTTGTTTGATCAGGTGCGCTGGCGTTACATGGTTGTGGACGAAGGACACAGAATGAAGAACCATCACTGTAAATTAACACAGATTCTGAACACACATTATGCTGCTCCTCACAGGGTGTTACTGACTGGTACTCCTCTACAGGTTGGACACTGCTTGGTCCATTAGTAACATAACTGAAATAAATCTTATCCATCTTCAGGATTCATCTTTCCATGCCACAATTTTGCCCAGATTTCCCAATCACATTAAATCTGAATGATCTGATTGGCCCAAATGCAAAAAGCAGAAATTTTGAATCAAGAATTTGATTTAAGATCGCGTGTAAATAACTGAATAACTTTATTTCGGCTACGCATTAGATACATTAAAAATTGTAGCATATCTAAAATCTTGACAATTTCTATGGGTCAAAACCAAGAAAGTTGTAAAATGCCAGGTCACAAATAAATGCCAGGGCTCCTAGGTAGAATTGTAAATTAGACCCTCAAGGAATATGAATTGAAGCTACATGTTTGATAAACTTTTCATGTAATTATTATAAAATATTTAACTCTCCAGAATGATGAATTTAAACTCATATAAATTCTAGGCTTGAATAAATTGCACAAGTCAAATGAACTCAAGCCAAGTTTGAAATAAATGCTAAGAGCTTTTAATCAAGATAATACAGTATATCACTGCTTAGACTTCATCTTATGTTAGGAGTACATTTCTAGGTAAATCTTAAAGTATTACTGTATGTGTGCCTGTCATCCAACTGTTATTTCCAGCTTTGCATATCAATGTTGGATAACTTTGATCTCTAACAATGTTATCCCTAAGTGCTATAAATGTCATGGTTATTGCTTTGATTCATGTGCACACTTTTTAAGGCCTGTCAGAAAATTCACCATGTATGTCAGGTGTCGGAGGTGTGCAACATTGAACCAGGGATTCGCTAACACCACTAAAGACTTAATCTTAATGAGTGGGGTTTGATAGTAGAACCTGACACATTATGTACATAAACAGGGCTTGATTTCAATTAGCTTGTCCCTCAGCCCAATGTTGAAAGAACAACCAAGTCTGACGCTCTTGCTCAACCACAAAGCACATTTGATTAACTAATATTGTCAGATGTTCAAGAAACTTGTTTGACTAGATTTGAATTTTCCTCCATGCTTTTCTACTCTGTTGCACTCGTTGCATGATTTTGACCCAACACTTAGGTTTATTTTTTCTGTTGATGTTAGAACCGTTTGCCAGAGCTGTGGGCTCTGTTAAACTTCCTGCTTCCAACAATCTTCAAGTCATGCAGTACTTTTGAGCAGTGGTTCAATGCACCCTTTGCAATGACAGGTGAAAAGGTATGTGCTCCTGACAGAAAAAAAAGAATTAAAGACTCACTAGAAGTGCACTGCTTAGGACCCGTTCACACTCCACCAGAGGAAATAATTTGAAAACGGCTTTTTCACTCTGAAAATGCATCAAATGTTTTCCATCCACACTATGCCAGAAAAATTTGAACACACAACAATCAGCGGCCATTTTGGGTTTATGTCTGAGGAAAACATGGGCGGGGAAATCACACGATTATTGAGACATCATCATTTTCAAAAAGCTCCATTTCCACACAAAAATGCAAAGCCAGCATTTCCAAATTCTATTTTCTCTGTTTTCATGATGGATTAGTGTTCACGGCAAGTGTAACCATAGAAACAAAGCTGCATTGTCAAATTTCTCCGACGTAGTGTGGACAGGGCCGTAGACTGTTGACTTTTTAGTGACTCGCAGTGTATTGTCTCTTGGTTTTTGGTAGGTTGAGCTGAATGAAGAAGAAACAATCTTGATTATCCGACGTTTGCACAAGGTAAGACAATGAGTGTCACTAATATGTTTTATTGTGTTGGGCTTGATTCTATTCCGTGCAACATTGCATCTTATTTTTTTATTTATTGAAAAGTTTTCCAAAAACACATGAAAGGTCACCAGGGAAAAGCTAGGTTTAGGTTGCTTGTCCATCACAGTAGTTGATTTTTAAAAAGTACATGTAAGTGATCAACACGCTGCTGACACACACCAGTGATGAATCTTGTACATTGCGGGAAAGCGCAGTGGTCAATGCGTCGTCAAAATGCAGTTGGCCAACAGTCAGCCAACATGTTGGCTACAGACTGTTTTCTTTTTCAACTTGTGTTCCAACCATATTTCAAAGCAAGTTGTATGAAAAAGAGCCTAGGGTGTAATAATACACTGTACCTTAGTCTACTCCAAATTAAAACTGATTGCTCTTGATTTGACTATGATAGGTACTGCGACCATTTTTGTTGCGTCGTCTGAAGAAAGAGGTGGAATCACAGCTACCAGAAAAGGTAGGAAGACAAGGATCATTTCTAAGGGGTTGTTACAATGCTAAAAACTTTAAAACATGTAAATGATGAAATCCAGTCTGTAGACCAGATGAGAAATTACTTGTGTGGAAAAAACCTGAAAACTTGCTTTTTGTTTGGCCTTGCATCTCATTGTAGGGAAGAACAGTACACCTGCTACGAAATCTGTCAGACTCCTCCAATTGCTAAGAATAAACAGTCTAGGAACAACAGGCTAGGAATAAAGTGACAAGCTTTGGTCTTGTTATGGTGGTCTCAAAGTTAATTTTGATGTTCTATTTCTTCTTTACTTAAGGTGGAATATGTTGTCAAATGTGACATGTCATCACTCCAACGCATTCTGTATAACCACATGCACAAGGCGGGAGTATTGCTGACAGATGGCTCAGAGAAGGATAAAAAGGTCTGTGTATTCATACTTAAATTTATTTTAGTTCAAGACGTTGACGTGTTTGACATCAACTGTGCTCAGGGTGAACTGGGACAGAGGTGAATGTTGGGTTTTAGGGGTGTTCATTTTCAAGACACCCAACAGACAAGAATGGTTATAACTGAGGAATAATTATATAGATAAAGTACAGACAACAAACTCTTCCTCATGCAGCTCCTCTGAGCTTGTGACCTGCTGTCAATACTTAAACTTGTGTCACAGAAGGTAACTGCACACTGTTTCAACCCTGGCAGAACTAACTCCTGTATCGCAGGTGTACTAGGTGTGGTATATTGACTCAGAGTTTCGCTAACACCACTAGAGAAAAAAGATCTCTGTGAGTGGGGTTTGATAGTAAAACCTGGAATATTTTATTACAGTATCGCATGGTTCAGGTATTTGAAAATTTCAGTTAATGCTGACCCTGCTCTTGTTATTAATGCCTTCATCACAGGGCCGGGGAGGAACCAAGACTCTGATGAACACCATTATGCAGCTCAGGAAGATTTGCAATCACCCATTTCTGTTCCAGCATATAGAGGTAATCACTCTCACTTGTTGTTCACAGTCACTGTTACCACTTTACTTTTGATTCAAATTTCTGTACAATCAAGTAATTTGGTGCCTCATTGACTACAGTTATGTCAACAGTATTATAGTCTTCCAGTGATTTCCAAAAATATTTTTAAGTTGAAATTTTAAAGTAAAGTCAGCAGAGTATTTAATTTCACATGTCCAAGACAGAATTAGGAGGTCAGTGTACATGTATTTGATTCTGAACATTTTTCTTCATGTGTGAATTTCCACAGGAATCCATAGCAGAGCATCTTGGCTTTCATAGTGGAATTGTTCAAGGGTAATGTATGACTTGCGTGGAGTACAGTAGTTCTGCCTTCCCCGGAGTTTTGATCCCTGATACAGGGTTGAATAAGTCCAATAACTTACATGTTGTGTAGTTGCAATCATAGAGTTAAGATGAAAATTAATGTCATCATGTATTCTTTTATTCCAACAGGCCTGATGTTGTACGAGTGTCTGGGAAATTTGATCTCCTGGACAGGATTTTGCCAAAGCTCAAGAGAAAAGGCCACAGGTACATGCATTTCTTACTTTCTTTTATCCATGCGGGTCTGTATTATCAACTAATGTGCTATCCCATCCTGTCCCATCCAATGAACTACAGCGAAGATATTTTTAAGGTTGGCACAAATGAGGTGACAGGTCCCTTCAACTAGTGCCTGCAGTAAGTCATGGGGCCAAGGTCCTTCATGTGAACTAGCCATCTTATTCAACAGATCTAGTCACAGGGACCAAAATTTGTTCACTGCAACTTGTCCCACAAATTCAAACTTTCTTGTTTGAATTGAAGGAACAAGTCCCCAGGATGTATCCCTCAAAACCCTTTTGTGTGAACTCTTCGTGGGATTAGTCCTTGCACCCAGTCCTTTTGTGTAAACTATTCAAGGTTGTCCCTTTATGTGTGCCAACCTTTCCACAGTTTACGGTCTCCCATTACTCAATGTGAATTGTTTAGTTTAAGTTTCTCTTCTTCAAGTAAGACTCTTATTCTCTGCAATCTTTATGAACCCTCTACAAACACTACTTCAGTCTATTTTTCATGGCTAGGGACATAATTAATTTTGTCAATCATTTATCTGATGATTTTAGAGCCATGGCATTGATTCCATGTGAAGATTCATGGTGTCATTCTGTTTCCTTGTTAGGGTGCTGTTATTTTCACAGATGACATCTCTGATGACTATTTTGGAGGATTATTTCAACTGGAAAGGTAATTTACGAGCATGTGGCACTTCAGTGTAGGCAATTTCTTTTGAACCGGGAGAAGAAAAAAGAAAATTGAAAATAAATTTTACTGGACAACTCCCTTGCACTGGCATTTTAGCTGGTGGAGTCATTATTGGTTAACGATGGGAAGCTGCAAGCAAAAATCACTAATCAGTTGCTTTTTGTTGGACTCTAAAATCACTAGTTTCGGACATTTAATTTTCGGACACTTTTTATCTCACTTTGGACAAATTTTGGACAAAAATTTTGGACACAGCTGTAACATAGCTAACGTAAATTTATGCCTATAAGACACGTTTTAGACTGCACCCTCAAGGTTTTACAGATACACTGATGGGAGTATAATAAAAATTCTATCAAGCTGTTATGTATCTCGACCAGTGTCTCAACTAGAGTTTTCTCCATAAAGTAAACTTACAGCTTTGGAGCTATTTCAAAATTTTATATTGCACTATTTCAGACGCTTAAAATTTTCAGACAGTTTTATATTGGGACACTTTTTTGTCCGAAATAAAATTGTCTGAAATTTTTTGTAAGTAATGTACGTTGAGCAAACTCCTGTTGTTTGCCTAGGATTCCCTTATCTGCGCCTGGATGGTACCACTAAGAGTGAAGACAGAGGTCAGCTACTCTCCTTGTTCAATGCCAAGGACTCTCCTTACTTCATCTTCTTGCTGAGCACACGAGCTGGAGGCCTGGGGTTGAACTTACAAGCTGCTGACACAGTTGTGATCTTTGACAGTGACTGGAACCCACATCAGGTCTGTTTTCTTTCCATGGAGCTTTTCTCCACTGATTTTCGTATAAATTTGAGAAATAGGACTTTCTTTAATACATTTGCCGTTGCTTTTAGTGCGCAATTAGCCTCGTAAGTGATTAAAGTAAATTAACTGCCATAACCAATTTGGAAATCTACACGTACTTGCCTACCCTGGGTACCAGAGAACTGTTCTTGCTCTTGCAGCAGGATGCCCCCCTCCCCTCCATCCCTCTCACATCCCTGAAACAGAAAAACTGTGCATGAAAAGCCTCTGCCACCCTGGATAGGGCTTAACTGGTTAGTTTCTGTAACCCACATATAAGACCCTGCTTGATCTTGCTTGGCTAAACAGGTTCTTATATTTTTGGGTTTTAACATGGCAAATTTCTGCCAACAGGTTCTTTAGCCACTAGGTTCTTTACTCTTTTTACTTTATTAGGATCTCCAAGCCCAGGATCGTGCTCATCGTATCGGCCAAAAGAATGAAGTTCGTGTCTTGAGGCTCATGACAGTAAACAGTGTGGAAGAGAAGATCCTTGCTGCAGCCAGATACAAGCTCAATGTTGACGAGAAGGTCAGTAGTCAACCCACTAGAATATATCCTAAACTGAAGAAGAGATTACTAAGTTTGTGCCTTTCCTGTCTAGGTAATCCAAGCTGGTATGTTTAACCAGAACTCCACATCAAGTGAACGAAGAGCTTTCCTGATGGCGCTTCTTGATACAGAGAATGATGACGAGGAGGTACTGACTTTGTTTGTGTATAAGGCGTCCGGTCAAACGGCTCATACAGCCGAATCTGATCCCGGTTTCTATAGCATTAAGTGACTAGAAGTATTTCTTCTCTCCCCTGGATGGGATGCTAGTCCGTTGAGGGGCTACCTCCAGCATACTCAGAAAATTTTGGTGGGGTGTTAGGCCCGCTTCCAAAACCCCTTACCCTATTTATGACCAAATCTGCGATTTTCCCCAGCCATATTTATGACCAGTACCCCCGAGGGGTACACCTGATGGCGGTGATAGTGATTTACCGAACTAAGTATGTGACATTATAAATTGCATAGCCGTATGTTTCAAAAAGGGTGTGCGAGCGGGAGTGCCTCCATTCGCAAAGAAAAGTTCTGAGCTTAGATTTCAAGGAAAGCGAAAACGCTGAAAGCTTTGAAAGAAACTGCCAGGTGTGTTTACGGGCCATATCTTGAATGAGGGAATGCACAATCTTTTTTTTTTTTTCACTAATACGTGGACAAAAGAAGGCGAAACAGACACTATTTACAGAAAGAAACGTTATAATTATTTGTGCTTACTTATCTGCTACCCATTGAATCCTTTTGTGATCTTTGTGCGATATCTAGTTTTAAAAAGTTTCTGTGTTAATTATTAATTGAACAAATTAATAACTAACGCGAAACGTCTTTGAAAAGTGGGCGGGATCGTGATTTCCAGGGTAAAAAGGGCGGGATGGCGGGATTAACAGGAAAAATTGGGCGGGAAAGCGGGAACTGAGAACCCTATTGTGGACCCTCTAATAAGTTTTAGCTTACCTGAAATTTCAAAGATGGCGGACGCATCGCAGATTTCTGACTCTAGGCCCCTTTCATTGCAAGTGCAGGTTTTGTTAACAGAAAATCGAGCACAAAATAAGGGACCGTTCATTTTTCATGGGTGAGGGAAGCTGGGGGGATTTGATAGATACGCCCTGCAATATATTCTGACCCCCCTCAAAATTAAACCTTTTACCCTGCTCCCCCCTCCCTCTCCTCTTAATCTTNCCCCCCCCCCCCTCTCCTCTTAATCTTACAATTATCTTTGAAATGAAAATCTCAAAAAATGATAAAGGGAAATTAACATTATCAAGCTCAACTTAATAATTCGGAGAAAAAAACATTCTTAAACTCTTACCAAGGCCATATTACAGGTTGATATTATATTCGTACACCATTCACTTGATAAATTAACATCTCGACTGTTACTGTCTTTCCTCTTCTTTATAATGGAGTCAAGATGACTTTGAAACGTCATAGGTTACTTTCGCTTCTTCTTGTCATCAAACTTGATAACATCAGATAAAATTGCAGTTTTGCATGATAATGATTAATTAGGTGTAATTTCTAATAATCTTATTTTGAATCTAATACTTGATGATGATATTCTAACATATTTTGCGCTCGATTTTCCATAAACAAAACCTGCACTTGCAATGTTGTTGTTGTTATTGTTGTTGAAAGGGGCAGAAATCTACAACGTGTCCCCCAACTTGGAAATTTCAGGTAGGTCTGGGCTTTGATTGATTTTCTTTCTCCCCGTTGATTTTTATAAAGGTTTGGTGGGGGTCAGTGTTTTGTCAAAATCCGTCAAATAGTGTCACTCGGGGGTGAGTCCCCTTGTATAAGAAAATTATCCCAGAAGAAGCAGTCGCCAGGAAAAGTCCCATTTGGCCTGTGAACAGGCTTGCTAGTCAAGGATGGGTCGAAGAGAAAGCAGGAAGAAAGAGGAGAGAAGAGATAGCGGGGATGGGGGGAGAGAGTAGCCATCCCCCCACCCCATTCCCCCCTCGGCCACTTCATTCTCACCCAGTTCCTTCTGGGCCCTTCCAGCCGCAGAGAGACCCTTCCAGCCAGGCTCGTCCCATCTTGTAAACTCTGTAAAGGATTCATCCCAGCAAAACATTCCTGTGTGTCTGTCGACTTTGGGTTTTATTTTGTTTGGCTAATAAAGAGTCAACAAAATGGAATTCAAAAGATACCCACGATGGCCAACCACGTTGGTTATTGCGAACCTCTGTGTTTTACCAGAGGTTTAAAAACTTCTGTTATTTGAAATTGCAGGAAGAAAGTGAGGTTCCAGATGATGAAACCATCAATCAAATGATTGCGCGATCGGAAGAAGAATTTGAAGTTTTCCAGGTAAGAACGTGGTGACTGGTCAAACAAATTTTGCTATTTCTCTCTCTCTCTCTGTTGCAGTTCTACCTTTTGGGCAAGTGGAATATTTAATTAACAAAAATAACTTGACTCTCGTGTTTTATTTTCTCACAGCGCATGGACATTGAAAGACGACGACAAGAAGTGAGAGTAAGTGATTACATCTAGCGCTCATTCCTGTGTAACAACTAGATTATGAGCTCGAGATTGCTATCACCATAGAAATCTAACTAAACAATTTCCCTTAAATTTGTTGTTGTTGTTTGAAAAATAAGATAATGTCTTTTGTTTTGGTATCTAGCCATCATTTGCCAGCTAGACCCTACAGTAAAACGAGTATCATATCACTGATTTCATTAGTGGCAACTACAAAATTAAAACCCCAGATAAGTACTAAGAAACAGAAGCGCAAGCATTAGGATCAAGATTCTCTGATCCTTTTGTTTGTGTTTCAGTGTGTTTCTCGGTGTTTGGATGAACTTTTGTATGAGTGCTTATACTTACGTTGCTAGTGAAAGACAGGCCTTTTTCTAAAGTGTCAGTTAACCGCATGTTTTTTTTTTTACGATGTTCACAGGAAGCAGGATCTCTCCGTCGTCGACCAAGACTTATGCAAGTGGCTGAACTGCCACGCTGGATTGTCAAAGATGATGCTGAGGTGAGAGTTTTTTCTTAGTTTTTACATTATACCCCATTTACACCAACCTGTTAAACGTGTTTAATAGTGGGTTAACTAAACAAGGTTAAAATTTAGTCGCTCATGCCATACAACGCACAACTTAACACGGCAAAAACCTGTTTGAATAAAATATGTTAGCAAGGGGGTTTGAAATTTGTCTCCTCAAAATGACTGCAAAGGGTAATTGACAAATTGGAAAAACTTAAACTTGATTTTGTTAAACTAGTTTAGGTCGTGTGAATGGGGCATTAGTTTTAGTTCCGTTTGAGAAGATTTATCAAAAACTAGAGAAAGAGTTTCACATATTCAAACACCTCGAGGTTCTTCAAATAGTCTGCTGTGCGTCCTATTTTCAACTCTCTTCACGGTGTTTGGGAATACAATGAAACACTGTCTTTTGTATTTGATATACTTCTACTCAACACGATCTATCGACTGTTACAGTAACAACTTTTCGGTTCCCCTTACCACTGTTATTGTTTTTGGTTTTCGTTATTTATTTTACCTTGCAGCACACTGCTAGAACCTGACAGTAGTTCTTCATGCATGTCAGGCGTAAAAAGTGTGCGATACTAACCCAGGCTGTTACTAACACCACTAGGAAACTGACTTCAATGAGTGGGGTTTGATAATAAAACCTGGCACACTAAAAAATAGAAAATTGTGGCTTATTAACTCTATAGGGGTGCTTATTTCCTGTGGAAGATTGAACATGCTTTGTTGGCTACTAAGCACTCACTGCAACTTGGCAACGGCAGGAGAAAAGCCCTTGGTGCCCAGGGTGCGATTTTCATTAACATGACAGAAAAAATTAGTCATGATACCATTTATTGTGCCATAGATGTAAAATTTCTGTACACAATGTTGATAACCAGGAAAAAATCCTTAATGTGTACCGTATTTTAAGGAAAGTTTGGTCCATTGCTGGAGACTTTTGTCCATGTTTGACAGGCCAATCTTTATCTGACTACATCTTCATCAACACAAGATAATACTCTAGTTATATCTATCTGCAGGTTGAACGTTTGACTTGGGAAGAGGAATCTGAGAAGATTTTTGGGCGCGGGTCACGTGTCCGTAAAGATGTTGTTTATTGCGAGCATCTGACAGAGAGACAGTGGCTTAAGGTCAGCAGGAAAACATGTAGTATGAAAAGAGACCTAAGACTGATTAAACTTAAAATCCTCCGTTTAAATCGCGTAGTTATTACATCATGTACCCAAAGTTAATAGAGAGGAATGGTTATGAAATCCGACAAAGTTCTTTGTTGTATGTTTTTGTTCTCTTTTTTGGCCTTGACTGTACACAAAAGTAAACACAGTAGTTCTTTCTTTTTGACTGAGGAACTAACCAATAGAAAGTTTTGGTTACGTAATTCATGCATAGTGAAAGAGTGCAAAATAAAAGATTGTGCACGGTCGTGAACCTTCCAACATAAATATTGACAACCATTCCCCTCCATTAACTTTGATGTACCTGATTGATTTTTAAGCACAATTACTTCCTTTTCAAACGTTAAAAGAACTGTTTTCAACATTGAAGTGTAGAAAACAAAACGTTTCGTTGACAATACATTTTCGTCCTACTGATAGCAAGTTCTACCAATGTCACAACAGCAACAGCAGTAAGCTTTATTTGTGTACAACGTTTGGACAACGGTGGAAAGGAAATCCAAAAAGAGAGAAAGTCATTCCTTTTGGAACTAATTTTTTTTTAATTTACCTACCAAACGGGTTTCATGACGCGGGAACGAACACCAGGTTGTCTAAAATTTGGCAGAAAATCTTTATTCTGTGCAACTGCACGATATACTTTCGCTTCCACTGTTTTACTTGTTGTTGTTGTAATTTTAGGCCATAGAAGATGGGCGATTGGATGAGGTAGAGGAACGGCAGAAGGTCAAGAAAATCTCTAAGAAGAGAAAGCTTGAAACAGGAGAAGAAGTGGACGCACCTAAGGTATTGTACAACCCTTTTAAGCTCAGCTGGCAAAATAAATTCTCTTTTCTTTTAGAGTGTAATTGTGTACGGCCAGAGTTCTTATAAAGTTATATTGTCCCTGTTTTGATAAGAAATGTGTTTCATTTGGACCAAGAACGCCCACGGCCAAATTAAATTGAAGAAGAAGTAATAAGTATTTGGCTTAACAACAATTTCTGGTTAAATTTTACTGAAGATAGTTGATAACCAATAGTACAGGAAACCAAACCAACCTGCCATACTGGCGATAATTTTCGATTTGTTTAGCTGCAAACAACCGGCGAAGCACAACGACGACATCAAAACTTCATTCCTAAATTTAACTTATTCTTTTTCTCTATAACACAGCTTGAAACGGACGTATTTAACTTATATAAATCTGGCAGTCCACAATGTAAAAAGTCTTTGAAAAACAGAAACAGCAGCACTGTTCATTTAATTTCTACTGAGTACAAAAAAATTATTGTTGTTGTTGTTGTTGTTGCTGTTGTTGTTTTGAAGATAACCCGGTCATTTTATGTAATATTTCTCCATTAGGTAAAGAAGAAACGAGGGCGGCCACCAGCTGGTATGATATTCTGTTTCACTGCTTGTTTATTTACTCATTGTTATTGTAATGCTGTAGGGTTGGATTCAGTCATGCACTGTAGTTACCTATTAAGGGTTGTAAATAGTAAGCCAGATAATGTGAGCTCTATGGTTTCGTTTCAAAACTTCGTCTGTAGTAAATAATTGCCTATTCTTTCCTATTGTATCCTATTCTATTCTGGGAGTAAAACTAAACACTCTCACTTTAGTGAGGTGTCCTTTAAAAGTTTCTAACGAAAATTTCCCCCGGCCAAGGAGCCATTTACCCTCTATTCTTCCTTACTTGAATGGTTGATGTTGGTTGTTTCCCGACATGAACTGACCGACAGAGATTTCGCTTTTTTCTGCAGTTAAACTCGCACCCAATCCACCTGAGTTGACAAAGCAAATGAAGAAGCTGATCAAGTACATTGTGAGATATGTGGACGAGTGAGTAGTACTTCCCAGCTCTTATTTCTCTTTACCTTTTTATAGCAAATTTAAGTGAGAAAGTTTCAAGAATTAAAGACTTGATCATCACTAGTAAAACGCCTTGACCCCCTTAACCAAGGGCGTTTCAACTGTTTTTTTATTTGGTTGTTTTGTAAAATAAATCATTTTACTCGAAGGAAGTTCCATTGGTTCACTCCCTTACGACTTTACGGCATGATACGGAACAGTATCAGATCCTATCAGGACAAATCCGATTCACTGATGTGTTGCCGTCAGAGTTAGCGACACCCGGCACTAACGACATGCACGCTGTGCGAGCCTGTTTCCTCATTTTATGTTGTTTGTTCCTCCTCAGTTCAACCACGCGCAACTTGGCTGAAATCTTCATGGTTCTTCCCACGCGGAAAGAATTACCAGACTACTATCAGATTATCAAGCATCCTGTGGACATTAGAAAGATTCGGGTAATGGTTTTATACTCCTCCTACGTGGCAGTAAATTGTTATTCTAGTGCTCTTTCTGTCATTTCTGATTTGAATCGGACCTGTTATTCCCAATGTTTACGTTCGCAGCTTTATCACTGACCTTGCAAAAGTGACGTGCTTAGGAAAAGAGGTTGTGATACATTTGTGATCAACATGAAACTGTTCTTAAGACAAGAGGGCGTGTTCCAAAAAGCAGTTTAACATTTCTGTCTTTAGCAGAGTTTTTGTCTAGTCAACATTTAGTACAGCTATACATGTAGGTGGTTGGCACGTAAAATGACACGTAAGAGAAGTGGTGCAGTGGACTTTGACCTGATGCATTTGATGTTTGTTTACCCACACGAACAGTTAAAGTTAGGTCTAACTCTAACAACGTAACATATTCCAGCTCTTTTCTCCATTAGGGTGAAACATCTTGAAGTAATAATTACATAGAGAGTGTGAGTGACGCTTTTTTCATGTTCTGTTACAGGAGAGAATCAACTCGCACAAGTACCGCACCTTGGATGACCTGGAAGAAGATTTCACTCTCATGTGCAAGAATGCGCAGACATACAACATTGAGGGATCCATTGTAGGTTTTGTTCTGTACTATAAGGGACCATAAGGGAGGCTACAGTCTTTAATTGTTCTTGTGAAACTCATTGAAATAAAGTGTCATTCATCTTTGAATTTTCTTTAAGAAGTGAACTTTCGTCTATATTTGAAAAACCTACTTAGATGATAGGAAGCTCAACAATAATAGTTTGATTTGTACAACAGTATTCGGCAAATGACCGAAATAGATGGAAGTGAGGTGATTGACTAAAATAGTAAAACTCTTAAGTAAAATTAGCATAGTAAAATTTAGAGCGAGAGATCCTACAATAGGCCCTTTGCAGCTAAGCCATCACGTGACCTATTTTTCATAACATTATGGGCTATAACTTAACGAATGCCAGAAATGGAAAAAGCATGTCGAAAATATCAAAATGGCCAAATTTGAGGCCCCCATCATCAGAGAATGAGATTTTATGATGGTCTGAATTTTTGAAAGAATAAGAAGATTTGTATGCAAGACCTTGCTCTCCAGCAACATTTTCATACGAATCCTCTAAATTTTCCGAAAATTCAAACTATGGTATAAACTTACTCGTTTTTTCCTGGGGCCTCAAACTTGGCCATTTTGGTGTTTTCGATGCGCTCTTTCCATTTCTGGCATTCTTTTAGTTATAGCCCATAATACAAAAATTTTTTAGGAAAAATTTGGTCACGTGACCCCAGCTGCAAAGGGCCTATTGTTSTTTCATAAGTTGACCGACGATTTCTTGTCAATTTTTAGTTTTAAAAGGCATGTATACTGATAAGGAATTCTTTATATGACTACTTAGTTGAATTAGAGGGTAAATTGTCTTTCTTTTTATTATTAGATTTATGAAGATTCCATCAAGCTTCAGGTAAGCTAAGACTTGTTGATCTTTCCTGTAATTATTTATACCGTCCCAGTTAACCTTCGTGGGTTGTGTTGAAACGGAAATATTTTGACGGACAAGAGGCGAAAGAAAATTAGGAAAATGGATGGTCTCTCTTGTTTCGAGTTTCACTTTCGATAGAAAGTTCCCTTCTTTCTTATTTCTTAAATAAACACCCACTTTCCAGTCCCAGAAACAATTGAAAGTTTAATGTTAAAAGATTTATTCCTCAAACAGTTGTCTTGAATTAACCCAACGAACGTTTCTTTCACAGTCCATTTTCACGCATGCTCGACAAAGGATTCAGGCTGGCGAGGAGTTACAGTCGGCTCAGTCGGCTATACCGGAACCGGAAGTGGAAAGTGAAAAAGAAGCTAGCGATGGAGAGGACGAGGACGATGACAACGTTGACACTGTAAGAAAAGCTTCCTAAAAGGAGCCATGTTACGCCATTTTGACGTTATGTTTTACGATCCCCAGAATTGCCTTTAGATCGATGAAAATCTTTAAATACAGTAAACACCCAGGTTCAAAAACCTAAAATTTAAGAACCTGTTTGGCTAAAATTTCCCACTTTAGCACCCGTCGCATAGGACCATTCTAGGCTAAAATCTCAATACAGGTTCTTATTTTCAAAATGTAGAGTTTTTCAAATATAGTACAGTACATCACACGCGACACAAAAAAGGTAACAAAAAACTAGCAAGAATACTGGCAGTGTTATTCAATATAAAGGCCACACCTGTACCCATGAGTACAAGTTAAAGGATAGCAGCGCTTTTTTCAAACTTCAGTTGTAAAACACAGATAATTCGTTACATTACGCAAGTGTCCCAAGAACGTTTGTCCACGATTGTAGGTTCTTATGTGCGGGTTTTTACTGTAATAAGTAACAGAAGTAGAAAAGCATCAGAGGAGTAACAATAAACTAAAAAGGAACTAGGATGGCTTAGATTGAGAAAGATTGAGAAGGATTTCATTTGGTAATTTTTCTTTTAGGAAGGCGACGGTGAAGAAGGAGAGTCAGTAGGATCAGACATGGAAGGTCAGAATCTGAAAAAATCTCCTGACTTACTTTCATTGCATGTCCTTTAATTTAGCCTGAAATAATTTGTTTCAAAATCAATTCAATTTTTCCTGAGATGATACACGTTCGTCGTGATAGTGCATGACTATTTTTATATCTGTCCCAAACTTGAAATCTCAATTCTCTTTACTCAGTCTTATATATTTCTTTCATTAGTAGTTCTGAAAATTTCAGATATGTCCAGGATTGAATGCTAATGAGATTCAAATTACTTATGAGAAGCATCACAAAGTGTCCTCAGTGGTAAAAAGTCACCAAAACACACAATTCTGTCCAATATGAAGTAATAAAATGTCAAATAACCTTGCCAAATAAGAAGTACTAATTTGGTAATGCATCACAATAGTCTCTTAGTGGATGATTTTCTTTATTCTTTCCACACCTGTGTGCTTGATAATATATCGATATTGTAAGGAGAAATTCCTCTTTAAGCTCTGTCCGAGTTACAGTGAGGGTTGAGACTAATGCAGTGTCCATATTTTGATTTCTTAGCTGGAAGCAGTCAGTCTTCTCTGAAGATGCGTATTAAACTCGGCAAGCAATCAGTGGAAAAGGCGAAAATTGAGCTTGGAGGAGCTGTAAGTTGAAATTTGATTCTATTTTCATTTATGAAAGCAAACTGCCCCCCCGCTCAGATCTCTTGTTCATTTAACGTGAGAGTTGAGCCTCCTCACCAGCCTCTCTGTAGGTCACTCTGGATCCGTATTGTTCACGGAAACCGTCCGTTAGACTTACAGATCTGGAAGTCGGCGTTTGAGTGCTGACCAGAGTCTTGGCGTTGTGTTCTTTGGCAAAACACGTAACTCTGAGACTCTACTTTCTCCACCTAGGTGTACAAATGGTTAGCGACAAATTTTTAGGGCGTCACCTGCTATAGGTTAGCTTCCCCTCCTGGAGGCGTCCCCTGTATCATTCTAAGTTAATTCTTGCTACGGAAATCAGAGTTCGGCACTTGCACCAAATTGCTACCAGGAGTAGAGCTCAATGTTATTTAATTTAAATTTAATGCTCCCTCACCTTCTCAGATACACATCTTAAATCTTTTATTAAAATCAGCGTAACAAACCATATTTTTCGATTCGGCGCAAATGGCCATAATGTCCATAGTGGTACCAATGGCTAAGAACTCACTTTCGCGCACTGTATTCAACAGGTTTTGTGTGTTTACCTCGCACTTCCAAACTTTTACCAGCAAAATACATTTGTACTTGTACTGAATCCAGTCTCAACTCTTCTCAGAGCAAAGATTATCATAAAACACCTTCATCAAAGCATATTTTTCCAGCTTAACAACACTCCCTAGTACAACATGCTGGTTTTGATTCCTTTTCTAACATCTTTGAACCAATTCACCCCAGTTTCCGCTCTGATGTAAAACAGAGTAGGTCGTGCTGGATTGCAGATATTTCATTCCTTCCGTGCCCCAGCTTCTGCGTCACAATTTCAACCTTGGTTCTTCTTTTTGTTTTGTGCTTTCTCCGCAATACCCCAAATGGAATTTGTCGAGAAGAAAACTAGTCTAAAATCCGCGCCTTTTCGTGTTTCACTAACTTTAGCAGAAGAAAAAGCGTCGCGGACGCCCGCCCCGAATCCGACAGGAACCGAGCGATAACGAAGCTGACTCGTACCCGCCTTCGGAGAAAGGTTACAGCAGTGAAGGGGTGAGTGCATTGTTTTGTGTTGCCTATTTAAAACAAAACATCATTCGTTACTTTATCTGTAGTCTCCTTTGCAGCCGTTGTTTGGATCGTCACGCAACGTCACGTGGAAGAGCGTTGCGTGACGGTCCAAGTGATGCCTGCGAATGAGTCTATTTTAGCTTTTGCTGGCACCCATCTTGGATCGATTTCCACCGCTCTTTCTTGCCCGTCCCACCCTAGCCTATGTTCCTCGTGACAGAAGGCTCACTTCTTATATTATAACGGAGATTGAGCCTGACTCTAATTTTTTGTCGAAACTTTCCCGCGGTGGTGCGCCGTCTGGTGATGAGATGCAAAGAAGCCCCGAAGGAAAGATTGAATGTAACCCTTTGCAATCAGTTGGTTTGTTTTTTACCGTAGTTTTGAATACTCTTGTAGATACTTAGCTGTGAGGTGATAGCATGATCGCCTCTATAAATGAAAAAAAGTTTGACGTTTTCTCGTTACTTGGCTGTTAAAGTCTGCAGTAAAGTTTAGACTTATAGATAAAAATAAATTAGTAACTGATTCTCTGATTTGCATCGAAGCCGTTAGTCCCTAGCCTGCGAGTAGGCTCACCTTTGAGTCACGCGCGCGAGCGACGAAGAGCAAAGCGATCAGGCGGAAAGGAGTCTGGTGAAGAGGCCAAAACTTTCTCGTCTCGCGGCTACGCCGCTCGAAAAAATCGCAACCTGGAGAGGTTTTCATGCGCGGCAGACATACAACACAGCTTGGAAAGCTCTGAAAGAGATGTTTCCTCTGTACACTAACTCTAGCATTTCTGTTTTTCTGATCTCGCTTCGTTCCTAATATTTTACAGGAGACCTCTGATCGAGAAGAGTTCGCGGGCCCATCACAGGAGGCGGCAGCCTCGCCTTCACAGAGAAAACGACAATGAGAGGACAAAGTGTCACACGGATGCCTTCCCACTAGGCTGCATTGTTTTTTTTTTCCTAAACTTTCGTTGTTCTTGTTACTGGGTAAAACAATTAAAATTTGTAGTAAGAGTGAACTTAAATGTTAATTCCTAGAGATGACTTTGTTGTGATGGATGGTCTTGTGCGAATATAAAGCCTGTAACAGCTCTCAGAAATGTTTGATGACTAAACTAGAGTCTGAAACTTCAAACGAAAAAAAGACTAAATTTACCGAAGATTTAGAAAAAAAAAAAACACGTGTACAACTAAAAGAAGTTGCATTGTGAGATTCAATTTTGTTTTCTTCCTCTTTTTCTCTGTGAGATAGGGTGGAGGCTCTGTGAAACCCAAGTTAATATTTGTCCCAGAACAAATTTTCAGCTTAATGTATTCGAGTTGTTGGTGCAGCATCTTAGTCAGCGTCCACACTACACCAGAGAAATTTGAAAACGCAGCTACGGTTAGGCCTACCGTCCACACTAATCCGCCACGAAAACGGAGCTTTTCGAAAGCGCTTTTCAGTTCGGAGGAATTTGAAAACGCCGACTTTTCGTTTTCGTGTGGACGGAAAACATTTTGGAAACGGAACTATTCGAAAACGATGGCGTCGTGAAATTCAGGTGATTTCCCTGACCGAGTTTTCCTCAAACGCAAATCCGAAATGACCGAGGAGCGTTGCGTTTTCAAATTCCTCCAGCGTAGTGTGGACTGGGCCTTGTAACGTGTAGCTTGCGCACAGAGCTTCCAGTTTCCTACTCCACCCCGCGTGGGTGAAATGTGACGTACCATGGTTGGTTGAACTAATGTTGACTTATGTTGTAGAGTAGTGTGCGAACATTTAGGCGGCTTGGGGCTCGGCTTTTTTGTTGATGTTTTCATTACTCTGGCGTGTGTTACTTGAACTGTTCCTTTTGTTAAAGGTGAAACAAACAACTGTGGTGAAACAGAAAAAAGGAATAGCTAGGTCTTTTTGTCATTCTGCTGTAAAGTAAGATTTTCTGTTGCTTGTTGTTAGTCGTATAGTTTCGACACGAGGACAAGGCTGTTATTTTCAAGTTTCGTTTGTGTGTTCTTGAGGGATGAATCATTTGACTTTTGAGGTGGGAGGGTTGATTTGGTATAAGCATGGATTGTTTTAACTCTTATCATGCTCTAGGAATTTTTTTCTCGGGGCGTGCGTATGTATCCGTCTAACAGGCTTTTTTTGGGCTCGCTGAACGTCTGTGATTTTTTTTGGCAGTAGTCGTGTACGTGAATGTTTTTGCTCCTACAAGTATACCTGCAGGAGGTTGTTTTCAAAAGTCATCCACCCCCACCCCTTCAAAAGTCAATTTGTCCACCACTTACAACAATGGTTGTTTTTATGAGTAAACCCTTAAAGTGCATGGTCTTTTTCCGTTTGAACAGACTCGTACCGTTACGTGCTTTGTATGTTATTTAGTTTATAAATACCCTTTGTAAATGTAGTTTTGGGTGATTCTAGTGTATATATTTCGTGTGTAGTTAGCTATCTGTTGTAGCATGTAATTAAATTCGAACGTATATATTCTAGTAAGTTGTTTTTTCTTTCCTTTTGCCATTTGTGTTACTGATGTAACTTTAGTAATACGTTAGACAGCGAGAATTGTAATTACAGATTCTTTGAAATAAAGTTCTAGATGTAAAGCGTCCGTTTGTAGAGACAAGTTTAAGCAAGATGGAAATGTGATCAAAGCCAATTCTGTTTTGAAAGGCGGACTTTTGACCTCTGCTCGCCTGTGCTTGCCTTGCTGTTGAAAGGCAGGTCTGTGTTTCCTTCTCAGGTAGCAAAGCAGAATTTTGCACTGGGCCGTCACGGTGACCGGAAACGAAAAAGATCCTTAGATAATTGACTTATGGCCGGACTGTTCGTTCCGCAAACGGAACGCATGTAAACGGGGAAAAGTGTTAGTTTTTATTTTCGGGGGAAGGGAAGAAGAAAAGAAAAACAGTCTTTTACCAGTAACTCAGGACCCCTGTGTTTCGGCTGGGATTCTTGTGGTGGTGATTCCATGGGTCCACAACTCCCATAATACTTTCAAACAATCTTACATGGCTCAAAAAGATAACTCCAGATATGGGTGTAGTACTCCAGGTAAGGTCGGTACAGCAAATTACGCACCCACCCCACCTATTTCTATTTTGAGACGCTTGCTGGGCGCGGGCTGTCACCAATCAGACAACATGCTTTGATTGACAAGGCTAACTCGGGTTACGGTTGTCAAAACTGCGCGTAGATAAATTATTTCTCGCCGTGCGAAAGCATTTCACTTGACATAGTTCAGAGAGCAGAAATGTTCACAACTGTTGTTAGTGCAAATGTTGGTCCCGGTGTTGTCCTTGGCGTAATTTGGGCGCTTAGTTTTGTATTGCCTTCACAAGCCCAAGGGATCTGTGAACCACTCACTATCCCGCTCTGCCAGGGTCTTGAGTACAATCACACACTATTCCCAAACATGTTGAATCATACATCACAACAAGAAGCTGCTCTTGAGGTGCACCAGTTTACTGCTTTGGTTAAAGTGGGTTGTTCGAGAGATTTGGCGTTTTTTATTTGTTCCGTGTACGCTCCATACTGCTCGGTGTCGGCGAATTTGACGTTTCCAGTTCCGCCTTGCCGTTTTCTTTGTAACAGGGCTAAACAAGGCTGTGAAGTGCTGATGAAACGTTTCGGCTTCGCATGGCCAGACAGTTTAAGGTGCGATAGATTTCCAAAGCTGGGTGAAGAGATTTGCGTGGATGTTGATAGGACAGGCAAGACCGTCACGGTCCAGCTGCCGACAGTCGAAAGAGTCAAAAGAGGTAAGGCCCTGCTTGAACTTGTGAACTTACATTCGTATGTTAACATTGTATTACTTGCGAACGCAAATAGTTTTTCAGGCAAAAACATGCTATATGTTTAAATTAACTTCCTCCTGTAAAGAGGATATTTTTCTTACACTCTTTCTGTAAACCACCAATTCCTTCCATTTGTTTGCGTGACACGATGAGGAAAATGAAGGCAATGCGGAAAAACAGGATTCTTTTTTCTGAAGAGCAGTGCAAAAATTCTTTTGACTCGGTGTTTCCCTCAGAAAAATCAGGTTCCTTTGAGTATTTCAGCTGGATGAAGGGAATAACGGACATTTTAAATTTCAAAGACAGAAATAGTGAATTAAACGAGCGTGACTCTGTTATTAAACTAGCGTTACTTGCAGATCTGTTTTAGTCGTGCCTGGATATGAACCACGACTTCGATGAACTTATTTGATGGTTTTAAACTTGGAAAATATTTGTTATTTCGTTTCCAAGTTGTAGTGCTGGAACGAGTTCACTCCATCACTCATTCCTCCTTCACATATTGGAAATCCGGGAAGAACTCCCATATGAAAAGGCAAGGATGCTCGTGGGAAAATTTGACTCCTAAGGGAGAATAATGTGGACGTTGCTTGAGCTTCATTAGACCCCTAAAAAATACCACTTAAAACGGAATAGGTTCGATTACTAGCCACTGTTCAAGAAAGGATCCGGCGCGTACTTCAGACCCGACTCGCGTACTCGAGAGATCAGCGGAAATCAAGCCTGAAAACAGAAATTAAATGAGAGCGTTTCTTTTATTATTATTTCTTCGAGTGCACCCTGAAGGATACTTTGACAGCTAAAAATAGTGACGTTTCGTCATCAACACCTTAAGTGAGACCAGAATCCTTAATTTACATCTCCGACCTTTTCATAGAGTAGTTCCCCCGGGCTTTGAACATCAGCCGTCTAAGGCCCGGTTCATACGTCGCATTTCTGCCGTGTCGAATTCAATTCAACGAATTAAATTCGACAGAAATTCGACGTCTGAATCGGCTGCCGCATNACTGTCGGGTATGTCGGCCAGCGGAAAATGTTTTAAACGTAGCGTATTCAGAATGGCGGACGAATATACTGAACGACGAAGGACTTTAATTTTGCGAAGAATTGTCCGCCAATGGAACGAGAAGGAGAAGGCTGACAACGGAGCAGTATGTAGTTCGTATAGCAGTATGTGTTGCAATATGTTCAGGTTGCATTGGGTCGAGAATGGCCAAGTTTCTTCTTTTTCTTTGGCGGGAAAACATTTGCGCATGCTCAATACATTAACATAATGTATGCATTAGATTCGACACGGCAGAAATTCGACTTCTGAATCGGTGTCGCATTTCTGTCGGATAATGCGACAAGACCAGTCGAACGTGCGGCAGAAATGCGGCAGTCGATTCAGACGTCGAATTTCTGTCGAATTTAATTCGTTGGATTGAATTGGACACGGCAGAAATGCGACGTATGAACCGGGCCTAACTCTAAGGCCGTTTTACAGTTGCTTGCAGCGTGTCAAATTAGTTATTTTAGAGAGATAGAGGTCGAAGGCATAACGATTTTTTCATTGTAAGGAAAATACTTATGTTTCTTCTTTAGCGATTCGATTCAGGGAAAGTCTCCGTGCTTTTCCTTCACAAACATACGTGAGTTCGAAAGCAATCGATATAAACGAATGATTAAAGTCTCCAGACGATTTTTTTTTAACACAAGAAACGGAAAGACAAACGCTACTTTTCGGTATATGGTTTCTTGACAGAGACAGAAAAAAACAATGAAGAAGGAAAGTAGATATATTCAGATGACACCACCAGGATTCGAACTCCCAACATCTCGCCAAGCGAGTAAGCGCTTTACATACTGCGCTACGTGCAGTAGGCTCAAGTGCCCCATAACACCCTTTCATAATTTATTTTCCAAGTTCAGTGGCTCACAGCCACTTTGATTTATCTTGACTTTGAACGCTTTGATGTTGTTGATCGTAACTCGACACTGCCCCGGAATCCTATCTCGACCGACCGTACCTCAAGCGGAGTTTCAGGTTTAATTTGATACTTGTTTTCTTTTTAAGGAAATTTATACTGTCCCTGATAATTTAGCGCTTATTTTATTTTGAGAATTAAAGAAAGGGCGTGAACTGAAAACAGATCATTTCTTAGCGATCATTTTCCGAAGGGTTCATGTTGGTGCCTTCAATAAACTTCTAGGAAACTCACAGGGGGCCCATACAAGCGGTGTGTCTGTTTGTATGTTCGAAATATAAAGAAATATATGAGATTATTGAAGAGTCTTAATATCGTGAACTTATATCGAGTAATGTCTATGTTAAAGCTCAAAATAAACGTTAACCTACCTCAGTTATTGAGTATTGTCGTTTCTGCGGCTGAAAATAGCGAATTTGAGCGATTTGGTGAGTTTTCCGTTCTTCTCTTATAACATGTAGTAACAGTCAACGCAAAACCCACCAGATAGCTCAAATTCGCTATTTTGAGCCGCAGAAACGACAATACACAACAACTGAGGTAGGTTTACGTTTATTTCGAGCTTTAACATAAACGTTGCTTGATATTCACGATATTAAGACCCTTCAATATTCCCATACATTTCTTTATATTTCGAACATACAAACAGACACGCCGCTTGTATGGGCCCCTTGTGGTGGACTGAAAAACGATCTTGTGCCCCTAGACATCAGTCAGGCCCCGTCCGCATCCCGCCGGAGAGATTTGAAAATGCAGTTGTATTCCTTCGGTTAGGTCTACCGTCCACTCTAATCTGGACTGAAAAGTCTGAAAATGGAGCTTTTCGACAACGCTCTTCAAACCGGAGGAATTTGAAAACGCCGCCTTCGCGTTTTGTCGTGGACGTAAAACATTTTGAAAACGGACGTTTCTCCGAAGTATAATGACGTCATGATGATCATGTGATTAACCCTAACCCTTAAGGTGCACTCAAGCTTTTCTACCGACGGTTTTCAAATTTCTTCGGCGTAGTGTGGACGGAAAAAATTTGATGCGTTTTCGGAGTGAAAATTCCGTTTTCAAATTCCTGCGGCGTGGTATGGACGAGGCCTCAGAATCTTGCGTTGGAAAGAATCATGTTCGAGAGCTCCATGGACCTCTCGACCGGGAAATAACATTCTTATCTTTTGTAAAGCAATTACCTCTTTACTCGCGATATCACTGACCTGCGAGAACTCCCTCTTTTTTCTCAATGTTAGCATCCATGATGTTAGTCAAGAAGCCGCGCGAAAATCTCGTTCGTTCGTTGCTTCGTTTGTTCGATCGTTCGTTCCCTTCGCTCGTTCGTTGCTTCGTTTGTTCGATAGTTCGTTCCTTCGCTCGTTCTTGCTTCGTTTGTTCGAGCGTTCGTTCCTTCGTTCATTCGAGCGTTTATTCCTTCATCCTCCCCTTCGTTCGTTCCTTCTTTTGTTCCGGCATTCGTTTCTCTGATTGTTTATCGTCTGTTTATTTGTGTGTTAATTTGTTTATTTGTTTACCATACGATCTGCTTTGTTGCAGAAGACACAGATGTACTCCTTCTGTTCGCTAACCGGCGCGACATACGCCGTATCCACGTGGGTTCAGACCTTCTGGCACATGGGGAGTTGGTGACAAGCCAGATAGCAGCTGTAGCAATAGACTACGACTATGATACGGGATTTATTTACTGGACTGATGTTGTCTTGGGTAATATTCAGCGCACACTGTTCGATGGCACAAGAAAAATCGAAGTGGTGGTGAGAGGCCTGAAGTCTCCTGAAGGACTGGCTGTTGATTGGATTAATAAGAAGTTATATTGGACTGACGCAGGTGCAGATGTGATTGAAGTAGCTGAGTTTAATGGTCGACATAAGATGGCTTTGATTACAACAGGGCTTGGGAATCCGAGAGCCATTGTTGTTCATCCCATTACTGGGTAAGCGTAAGTCTTCTCTGTTGTCCTGTACGAGGAGTGTATTTCTGTTGGTTAATTGCCTCCCGAGACAGACGGAAGCCATCAACAACAGTGTATTCGTGTTGTGGTGTTAGTTGTTTGCCTTTTTAATCTTTTAAAGTAGTTTTCAATTGAGTGTCGCAAAACCAAAACCAATGTTATCACTCTAGCCAATCACAAAAGACAGACAATCCAATGAACCAATCAAAACTCAAAGTAAATACGCGTAGCTGACGAAAAGCGCGGGAAAACGTGCACGAGCAAGTGCTGATTGGTTTTGGTTATCATTCTGATTGGATGAAGAGTGGCGCGAGTTTTTCTATTAAAACCAATCGTGTAACGCAGCAATGCAAAACCAATTACTTTTCGACACAAGTGAAAACCGTGCAATAATTATGAATTATCGCAGCACCAAGAAACTACCAGTTTTCTAGGCAATCTTTTCGAGTTTTTCAACAACAGTAAACTACATTAGAGTTTCACAATCGGTGATAAACCTAGTTGAATTTGTTTCTTCTCCTGCAGATACATGTTCTGGTCAGATTGGGGTGCCGCAGCCAAGATTGAAAAATGTGCAATGGACGGAGACAGTACCTCGCGACAAGTCCTCGTCAACCGAGACATCGTGTGGCCAAACGGACTAACAATAGACTATCAAGAAGAGCGGATCTGGTGGGTGGACGCTAGTCTGGGGACAGTCGAGTCCATGCTCTTGAACGGTCAAGATCGGAAGATTACCATACGCAACTGGGGTGTTCGCTACACCTTTGGCATCACTGTTTTCCAAGACTGGATCTACTTGACGAGACGTAGTCGAGGACGAAGGGTCGTTAAAATTAGAAAGAATGGTCGTGGAGGAATTGAGAGGATAGAGCGACACTTGTATGGACCGAGAGGGATTGTGGTTTATAACCGATTGAGGCAGCCTGGAGCGAAAGGTCAGTAATGGTATTCGGGGTGGGGGGAGTTGGGCAAGAGCTCTCCATATGTCACTTTCACATTGACGTTTTTGGTACCTTTAAAGGGGCTTAAGTCGTTTTGCGATTCTTGTTTTAGATTTGCTTTTCTATTGTGATACTAGCTTTTAGAGTGAGTTTTCAAAGTAAGCCGCGCTTGATCGCACAGTGTAAGTAAATACAGTGGAACTCCGTTAATCCGGTCATGAACGGGCGAAATTAATCTGGCCATATTGAAGTGGTTCTTTAAATAAGAAAATGACTGACTGAGCTTTTGTTCAGGCTAGAAGAAAGTGGCCTAATAACGCGGTGGCCGCAAGGCGAGATTCCACTGTACTGTCCATTGTTAACCAATCAGGGTAAAAAATACTCCTTTAGACGCCCCGGAAATATAAGTTCTGGTACCATGCCTGCCTGCCTTTTCTCCGCTAGGGATGGAAAGATGTTTTGCTTGTTTCTTTCGCGTTAACCAGGGGCGTTGTCTCCGGGCGTAATCCTTTTCATTTAGGAAGTCTGTCTATGGGTTCTGATGTTTGTTTGTTTATTTGTTTGTTTGTTTGTTTGTTTAGGAATTCCTCCATGCCTCCATTCCAGGCGTTTATTAACATTTATTAAATAACCGAAATACTACGTGCGCTCTCATTGGTCAATAGGTGTGTTTAGATGGGAATTTGTCAACACGGTTGTTACGTTTTAGATTTCCGCGTATTTCGGAGAATTATTCTATAAAAGCAGTAGAGCACTTTTTTCCGTGTTTACATAGCCTCATCTAAACACTCGTAGAGCTGGGACAATTCTCGAAAGTTATCGAATTCTCCCAACCCTCCTCGTGTTTAGATGAGACTATGTAAGCGTGGTAAAAGTGCTCTATTGCTTAGATATTTGTTGCATTTTCAAGAATTATTTTTCCGTTCCTCTGCTGTTTGTGTGTAAGTGGCGGCCATTTTTTTGATTTCAGTCAACCCATGTCGCCCCTCTTCAAACGCTGTAAGTTGCAGTCACGTCTGTCTGTTAGCTCCAARAAATGTTCGTCCAGASGGATTTTCTTGTCACTGTCCACCTGGATTAGTGCTTCTACAAGATCAAAAGACCTGCAATTCTACAGGTAACAGTTATGCGTTAATGTTTTAATGGCTATAATGAAGGTTTTGGTGATATCGTGTCGATATGGAGTAACTACTCTCCGACAGAATACACTCAGAAATCAACATGCATGCTTGTATTGCAACGCGCTGATCCTTACTTGGTTACTCGACGACTTGTCAAAACATAGTACGTTTTGTGCACGTTGAAGGTCAGAACAACGGATGAAAAGCTATAAGAATGATTTCGCTTCGCTTCAGCACCATTCTCCTCTGTTAAGTGTGCTCCATTAGAGGGAGAATTTCCTCCTTTCGGGCCTTGTAATTGCCAACATAACAGGGTCGGGATCAACCCCGGAGCCTCTCTCTTAGATACGCCTGTTCAAAACTTTCTCAACTTCCACTAAGGAGTATTGGCGATAACAAAGATTCCATTGAAATATGTCCAGACAATTTCGTTTAGGGGGAACAGACCCTAAAGAAAGACCTAAGTGGGAATTTTTCTCTATTTATAGATGCGTTTTTGTGCAAAGAAGAAACCTGTCTCAATGGAGGCACGTGTTTCGAACAAGCTGACACCCTTCCCTC